TGAAAAAAAATAACAACCGTAGGGTGACCGAGGGAGCAGGAGAAATCCAAGGAAGGCCATTCTAAATAACAAGCTGTCACCTTTGATCTGCTCTTCCTCAACAGCTGAGCAAATGAGCACAGAAAATAAAACTTTCGAAAGGCAATGTGACTTCAAGTTTTACAATCAACTACAGGGAGAGACTAAGTTTGAGCCCTTCATCTACAATAAATTTATGAAAACCTCACCTGCGTTCATAGGTACATTTTTTTGGTTTGTTTTTATACTTTCCTTCCTCTGCAACTTTCCATTTGCAGCAAGGGACCCTGTTTTTTTCACTCCATTTTCATTCAGTTTCATTTCGTACTTGTTACTGGATTGTCACCAGATATTACGGTCTTCCTGGTTAGTTTCCTTTCCCCAGGAACAGCAGAAGAAGGAAAAATTGTAGCAGATTATAATGTATGGAAAGTCAACTACATGCAGCAACCATCTTTCTTAAAAATAGCATCACTCTGATTTCATTATTAAAATTCATAAAGGGGTTTGTGTTCTGATCTCTCTGCACATCCATAACATCCATACATTCTTTAAAATCATCAACTTAGCAAATACCTAAGAAAAGTTTGCTGTTGTTTAAAGGAAAAAAAAAAACATTCAAACGCATTCAGGCCTGGAGTTAGGAAAACATGCAGGGCACAGTCAGCAAAAGCAGGTTGCTCTGAGCGCTGGTGTCCAGGTGGGTCACAGCTCAAAGGATGGTGACTCTACAGCCACTCTGGGCAACCCGTCACCACCTTCACAGAGATAAAGATTTTTATGACATCCAAACAGATTTTCTCCTGTTTCAAGGACACAGTAATGCAATGAGATGTGATAGTGGGGAGTCCATAGAAAAGATCACAACGTCGGTGGTAGGATTGCATCTCATCTGGTTCTGTGATTAATTTTCACTCTTGTACTCAAAATGATTTTTTTCACTCTTGTACTCAAAATGATTTTTGTCTCTTCTGTGGGATGAATAGTTAACTTAAAAAACGTGTAGAATCATAACGACCATCAGAATCCAGGAAACACAAGAGCAGTCTGGGCAGCAGTCTTCCTGAAACAAACTTAAGAGACCTGAGGAAGATGCAAAATACAACAAGTGTGGCAATGGGATAGGGGACATGAATGAAAAACTGTGAAAAATCATATAAATGGAATGATTGGGCTTACATTTAATACAGGAAGGTGTTGATAAAGTCCATTTCTAGGGGGGCCAATACTGAGCCATAGTACAGACAGCCACATGAAACAACCCTTCTGTGAGGGAAAAACCAAGAACTGAGCGGAGAGTGCGCTGGAAAGCTGCAGAGGTATCACATACAAAGTCCTTCATCTGGTCCCCAAGGGAGGACCCACCATGTGCACAACACCACGATGGGGACCAGCAGTAAATAACTACCCAAATAAAGAAAAAGGAGAGGGAAAAGGCATGCAGGGACTACTGTAATGAAATGGCTTTGTTTAAAATGATTTCAAACACAGAGCAACCAGTCATCACCTGATTAGAATGCGACATATGTTCCATTAGACAGAACTACGAAACGTCTGTACACTCAGCTGCATTTGGGATAATAAGCTCTCATTTGCTATAGGCACTGTATGTTCTTTTCGTTTTACTTCTAGTGGCAATTAACCTCCCTGTTATTAAGAAAATTGAGCTCAAAGTGGAAGACAAACACACTCATTTGCAACACTGAAGAAACAAGATCCTTTCACATATGCTCATTTCTTCAAATGTGTTTTTACCTCCAAAGCTCTTTAAGATACAGCGAAGCAAATCAAACCTTCCTCCTAACTTACCAATTCCCAAACTTCTCAGGCAGAAACCCCCACAACTCTCGCAGACACTTCATGTTAGCAAGCTCTGCATCTCCAGCTGCTTGGGGCTTACATTCCCAGTGCAGACCTCCATCCTAAGCAAGTCCTGCTGCTGGAGGTAGAATCTGGAAACTTCAAACAATCATGGAAAGTTTTCACCTCCCATCTAAAAAGAAAAAAAAAAAAGTTGGAAAACTGGGAGCAAATCCAAACAGTATAACTTTGGGCCTGCATGAGAGCAGTGCAGCAGCTGGAGTGCACGTGGAGCTCCTGGAAAGATGATGATGTAGAAAGAAAACTGCAGAAGCAGCAGTTTGCTTTGTTGTGAGATGCGAGAGGTCAGTTTAGCATTCAAAGCTCTGCACAGAAAGCACAGCGGTCTTCTCCCAGTGTAAAGAAAAAACAGTTTGCCAAGCCTGATGGGACTGTAACAGTTACTTCTCAGAACATGTAATGGGATTTGCACCTGGCTTTGGCCAAAGTCTCTTAGCCCCAACTAGCAGCAGCGCATGTTCTGAGCAGCATTCAGCTGACCATGTCTCTGGACTGCAGTTAGCAGCACAGAGAAATGCTGCTTGCTTATATGCTATTGCAAATATAAGTATTTCTCCTGTTTTCTCCCAGCCTGAGTTTACAGCCAGGTTCTTGGGTTGCAGCACACACCTGTGAGCAATGTTCTGCATTCAGGAGGTGTATCAATCAACATGCACCATTTTCACCTTGAAAGGGACCCCATCATACCGAGCTCTGCCAGCATTTTGGGGGAAAGGACCTGGAATCAGACAAAAAATAAGCAGCAGGGAGAAAGAAGATGGCACATCTCAGCCAGGATACCTGACTGGACATCACAGCAAGGACAGCTTTAAGCATGAGATCAGGAAAGCAGTAATTTAGAAGATGTCCGGAGGCATTCCTCCCATGTACAAAAATGAAGGCAAAAAAAGCTGCACAAAAAATAGGAACTAGAAGACACTGCTATCAGTATTTCGAGCAGTAGCAGAGAAAAGGCATCAGGGAACACAGGAACAACCTGTGACATGGAGGACCAGTGGCCTGGCCAACAGCAGACTATACACACTGTAAGAACACACAATGAAAAAGAAATTACAGTGTCAGATCAATGGGATCACAAGATCTTTGCTGCAATGCGTAACAGAAGAACATGATGACATTTGTCGTGCCAAAGAGAAGAACGAGGAGTTCTGACAATTTTATAAGTTCTGTTTGTATGTTTTAAACACACCAGCTAAATGAATGCACGAGATTTAAGCAGTTTCTGCATATATGATATGAAAGCAGTGACATGAACAAGGCAGCTCACAGACTCATGCCAGGGAAAGACAACAGTACAGTATCAGCTTCTTCTCATTTTCTCTGTTAAATCAAAATTTAAAGAACATATTTTTTATCTGCAGTAGACTGCGGGTGAGTATTCAGTCAAGGCAACAGGCTTTGAAAAACAACAGGTGAAATGAGGACTCACATCCAGAAGACCCTGTGCTGAGGTGTAGCCCTCAGTTCACTATTGCCAGCAGTGCTAAGATTACCACACTTCCTGACAGACATTTTGCCCTCTTAATTCCATCTTAGATATGGAAGTTAAAACAAAAATCCAATAGGAACAACTAGCAGAAAAATACTGTTCTCAGACAGCGCCTCAACAGACCAACCTGATCTTCATCTGTTCCTGCATTTGGAAAAACAATTTTCCTTGGGGCAGATTGTGGTAACCTTTGCTCATTAGCGTTGTCTATATTTGGATGCACGAAGTTTGTTAGTTCTGATCTTGTCAGGGCTTGTAGACCTGCAGAAGAGTTCTCTGGACTTCGTCCCTGAGCTGGCTGCAAATTCGGATGAAGGTTTAGAAGCAAAGGAAGAAGAAGTTAAGAGATGGGCAGTTCACCATCAATTTAAGGTATACTCTACAAACACATCCTCCTTTCACTTTCCATCTTTGCATAAAACATGCAATAAATTCTACTGAGAATTACAGCCTATTCCTCGAACCAAAAGAATGTTTTGGACATTTAAAGGCTCACAACGGTTGCAACTTCTGTGCTTAGTTTGAAGCAAATTATAGTTGTTCTTGGATGTTCTTGCACTTTTCTCTGTATTGTCATTTGAAAAAGGACATTCCAGCCCTGTGTAACTGGCTCCCAGAAGTGATTAAGACCAGTCCCTAGAAAAGAAACACAGTGTTTCATGTTGTGCACTGGCCAGAGTGACTGAAACAGAAATACCTTTAGGTTTGGGGCCTCAGTAACTCACGGTCGCTAGCACTGGGAGGACAGCAGAGTGAGGCCTGTCCTCCTTTACCTCAAGAGTAATTCCACAGTAGGGCGTATTTCACTTCAGGAAACTTTACCAAAACTGTCATTACATCACAATCAGCACAGAGATGTAACAACTAAGGAGGGACAGAAAAGCTAAAATCCCTTCACCGACTCTCAAAACAGGAGCAACTGTTGTATCTGTACAGATTCAGAAGGCTCCTACTAAAATAAATAAGAACCTAACGTGTTAAAGCAATTTTTATTTAAGTATTTGGAGGGAAACTTCCATATCATAAGTAAAAATACTAGAGTTGAACGGTGTTAAAAAAAATAAAGGGTCAAGATGATGGTTCTCTGTGCAAACGCAGCAGGCTCTGATGGAAAGGGGAAGCAAAGGGGTTCATAATATACTCCTTTTCAAATAAAAATCAAATGCTAGTTAACTGTGGTACATGGCATCGTTTTTTATACAGTCAAGAGAACAAAAAAAAAAACAACAAAAAAGCAATTTAAGAGAACACAACCTACAATGGAATAAATTCATTCGCAGGAGAGACAGAATAAGACTGCTTTTATGAAAATTACAAAGAAACTGATACAACAAAAATAGGGTGAGGGGAATTTTTCCACTAAGGTTAAAAAAAAATGAAGAAACAAAAAAAAATTCACTTTTTGAACACCATTATTATTCAAACACATATGAAGTTCCAACCTAGTTTTTTTCTTATACATGGGAAACACTGGTAAAGTGAATCTTCAAGAGTGAGAAGGCACCATGAACTGTCAGCTGATACCTTTAATGCACACTCAAGAAAGAGGAAATGATCTGGCATGATGCAAAAAATCATTAAGTGTTTATATATATTCATATATCTTTTCATAAAAAAAAAAAAAAGCGGCAACAAGTCATTACTTCAGTGCCAAAATGGACGTCTGTCTGGATAACTCGCTCCTTCAGGTGGTTTCTCATGTAGACCTTGTATGGTATTTTTATACAGTGGTGAAAGTGGATGATTCTGTGTTGTTGCAGTTCATATTAATTGGTAAATTAAGCATTTTCTATGTTCTGAGAAGCCAATCCTATGAAGTATTCCTAAACTACACAAATGGAATAATTAAATGCACTGTCCTGAACGGAATACTCAGCTGTACTATGTAGCAATGGACCAGATTCCACTGGATTCAGTTTGATATGTAATGTCTTGTAGCAGATGTTATAACAAAAATAACTTTTGCTTTTTGATTTACCTCACTGAGGCCATTAATGCTGTTCCTATAGTTGGTTTTCTGGAGCTGGATGACACTTCAACTGCTGTCCAAAATGAGTTTGAACCTTAATCCTCCAGAGTTTGTTCACTTTGTTGCTTCTATTATTGCACTAACTACTAAAGTCTTATATCTTCCTATATAAATCTAATTGTTCAGAGTGCAGATTCTATATTTAGACAATGAACTGTATGAAATAAATAAAACAAGGGCATTTTCTGGTCAGAGTTGCTGATATGTTGAATACCTTAATTAATTCTAAAGTAAACAGTTTTGGTGCATATTCTTAAAAACCTATGGTCGTTCAGCATAAGAGCCTTGACGTAATACTTTAAGAATGGATTTGTTTTCCTTCTCAAAAATGCATCAAAGAATTGTTTTAAATACAGAATCTGTGAGGCTTCCTACAAATTCATCTAAATCGTAATACAAACACAGTTTGTAATTCAGATAATATAGAAAGTTCTCTAGTGTCCATTGAAGTAAGGTCCCCAAAATGCAGTCTGTTTTGTTTCTGAATGGAAAACACTGCAAAACATTAAGCGGTTCCACTGGCTGAATAGGAGAACTGAGGAAAATGAGGTCTTCTCTCATTGTCTACACAATCCATGCTGTCATCTGGAGGAAGAAAAACAAACAAAACAAACCCATTAGACAACATTTGGCTCTTTTTTTATTTTACATAAACAAACAACGAGATAACACATAGTAAATTTCTCTCAGAAAATTCAGCATTGATTTCTTCTTCCACAGCTAGAAAAGACAAAGAGACATCAAGTCTGAAATCTCACCCCATTCACTGGGCATTGTAGAAGATCCTGAGTTTATGTTCACTGTGAAAATGGTTGTTTGGATGTCTATTTAAAACTGCTAGGGGGTTTCATCACTTTACTTCATATTCAGAGTTCGGAATCTTTGGCAGTTGCTATTTCAAAGTACTGAACATGCTCCATCAGAATGAAAGACTGACTGAGAACGGACATGAACCCAAACTCAACTGACTGTCTGCATATACCCAGTGTGTGAACAGATGTATCCAGTAAAACTCATGGACAGAACTTTTTTTTTTTTTTTTTTTACCAACAGAGGACTATGTAGATTTTGAAAAGACAACAGTGTAAATAACTTCAGCATCTTCTAAAATGGGTTTCCCATTTCTGAAAGATGCATGGAAACTTTCACATTGATTCTGAAATTCACACAAATTCTTGGTCAAATACATGAAGATGCTCACACATTTTTTCACATGTTCTAACAAATAACCTTACAGCAAATTGTTTTTTCTGATCTGGAAAAGACAGTGGAAAATGTTTGGGAGAACTTTACCTTGGTCAGGAGGAGTGATTGTAATCATCTGTGCTGTAAATTCTTCATCAAAGTATCTTGTATCTGTTTCAGATGTAACTTGTGGCTTAAACGGAGGTACAAGCTATGAAAAACAGAAAAACACTTTTTGTTTACAGGTTCACGAAGTACTGTTTCAAGCAGGCAGGCTCTGAAGTATGGTTATAAGCTACAGTGGCTTCAAAAAACCAACAACCCATAAAAAAGGAACAGTGTGCATTAAGGCTAGGTGTGCACTTATGAGGCCTTTAAGACATTGTGTTTCTAGAATTTAATTGTACAAAGAAAATCCTACAGTCCTAATGTCACTTCAAGTAATAAATAACATACATGTAAGAGCTTAAAATGAACAGTACTGCTTCTCTTCCTAATTATATGCAAATCTAGTCTGATTTACACTTGAGGAGGTTGAAAAGGAATAAGAACTGCAAACGACTTTTTGCTTACAGAAAAAGTCACAGAACCATCTGAGTTGGAAGGGACCTTTAAAAACCATCTAATCCAACTCCCCTGCATTGAACAGGGACACCCACAGCTCCATCAGGCTCAGAGCCCCGTCCAGCCTGACCTTGGCTGTCTCTGGGGATGAGACATCCACCACCTCTCTGGGCAACCTGTGCATCACCACCCTCACTGTAAAAAACTCCCCTCTGTTAGTTTGAAATCATTTCCTCTTGTCCTGTCACAAGACCCTGCTAAAGAATCCATCCCCTTTTCTTTTACAACCCCCGTTCAGATACTGAAAGGTCTCCCCCAAGCCTGCTCTTCTCCAGGCTTCAGAGCCCCAGCTCTCTCAGCCTGTCCCTCCTTGGGTCATTTTTGTGGCCTTCCTTTGAACACGCTCCAATAGGTTCACCTCCCTCCCATACTGAGGAATAAAGGTGATAACATTCACAAAGAAATTCCAACTGTAGTTACTGTGCCCCAGCAGCTCGAAACACGACTGCGCAGCAGACTGGAGCAGCCTGGGAGAACATGGGTCACAGCAGCAGCTACATTAAGCATTATGCTCCAAATCCCCAAAAAGTATTTTGATGTAAACTCTGACCTTAGATAAATACATAAATAAATAAATTGAAATGTTAAAAAAAAAAAAAAGAGCAGTAACCATCATCCTCTTGTTACAGCACTGTTTGGGTCCTATTCTTGAAACGCAGAAGGGCCAGAAATCATTCATTTGTACATAGGCAAGCACTGGCACCAGGAACTCCAGATGGAGCTGAGCTGCTTGAATGAGGCTGGAGGAGAAGAAAGCCTGGGAAGCGGGGTGTCAGAGCCAGCGGCATGCAGATGCACGGAGCTGGAACACATACAATTTTGGAGGGCAAAGTATCTGGGATTCAGACCTTGCTCACCTCCCCGCCGCATGATACACGAGGAACACGATGTAACACTGCCCTCAGCCTGCCCACAGAGGGCACGCACAGCTCTCAGAGCTGGGCTTCGGGTCGCCCACCGCTGGGGTTAAACGTGGCCATCTTTTAATAGCACTGAGCCACACTAGGCAACAATTTTGGAGCGTGATTGAGGAAGTATATGGCTTCCAAGCTGAAACCACAGGGAAAGGTTCATCTGGGCAAGTGGTAAATGGCTCAGACTGGAATTAAGCAGTGACCCTGAGATGCACTTTTGCTCTTGCACAAATAAAGCGACAGAAATCACTACCTGGAAAATATCATCATATCTTGAATGCACCAAGGATCTCTTTTCCACCTTCAGATCTAAGCTGGAGGAAAGCTGAAGAATCATCTGCTTGGCAAGTCAGCTAATAGGAAAATCACTGCCTTCAAGCTCCTCATTAGCCTTCTTTTTGAGAGCACCTAACAGCGCTGCTGTGATTTTCCCACACGACAATACAGCCCCTTCTTTTTCAATGTAAAGCCTCTAAGCAATGTAATCAACACATATGGCTTTATTTCCAAATACAAAGAAGCATTCTGCAGTTTAAAACCAATCTTTAAATACTAAGGGACATACAAATTCTATCTTTATTATAGAAGAGAGCAAAATTACAGTAGGTATTCATCATCCTTTTTTAATTGCTAATTATTCTCTGTTCCCCAGTATGGCTTCAAGGAGCCTGGCAAATGTTCCTGTAAAAAAATTAGGTCGGGCTTTATGTCCCGAATTTAAAACGGAAAAGGAAACCGGATATCCCAAAGCCAGTAGTCCCTCTGCGCCCTGCAGTCCTCCCAGAGCTATTGAAGAGGGAATGGCGCACATTGTAATGCTAATAACAGTATTCTCGATCAAGTCAAACCAGCACATCACGCATAAAGCCCCGCTGAGGATGAGTATTATTTATCATATCATCTCTATTCTTTCTCCTCATAGCAGTTTTCTGCCTGTTACCTTAAAGTGAACCTGGGTATGCTGTTTCACAAGCTGTGTGTGCATGTGCACATGAAGCTCGATCTGTCCTTTTTAAGCTGAGGCAGAGCTCCCAGCCGCTCTGGCTTGCTTTGCTCAGAGCACAGTGATTTAGGACTTGGGCACTGCAGCAGACACCTGAACTGTGCACATCAGAGTAACTTGGAGCAGCAGCCCTAAGTCAGAACGCATGTGTAATGGGCGACTGCTGCCTGGATCATTTCTTCCTTTTATTTTAGGATCTGTTAAAAGCAATTTGAGACAGATTACGCTGCACCCACAAGACAAAATTCTTTTCCTAGCTGTCAAATTCAGAACATTAAGCTGGAAACAGAGGGGAAGCCACAGAAAGCTACACTGCTGCTTTAGCAAGCAAATATGTTGCTTTGCTGAAAAGCTGTCACTGCAATAGCTCTGCAGCTCAACCGGCAGAGAGGTGCCACCTGTAGCCTCCCACTGCTGCAGACCAGCTTGATACCCGCAGGCCTGTGTTGGCTTAAGAGGCAAAAGAGCCCAGTAAAACCTGCATGTGATTAACATCTCATTGCGTACGTCTCACTTGTGGATGGGCAAAGCACTGCCAATTGAACTGAACCTTTTGTTACACCAGAGACAAAAAGCAGCACTTCTTCAGGATACTCTAATGAATATTTTACATTCTTGGGACAACCTCAGTTATTCAAAACCACCTATAACTCAAAGCACAGCTCTGTTTCCAAAAAGCTTAATTACAAAGCAAGTGTTCTTGAGTACCCTAAATCTGTACTCATAAACATATTTGCCATTTTCTGGAGATGGGGGGTAACCAAGCTGAGTGCACAACCACCCCCAGGCAGCTGACAGAATTCAGATTTATCCATTATGCTGCATGTCAGGTATATGCTGCAAGAACCTCATTGGACCACTCTCAGAACTCAAACTCCAATTGCTCATGGGCTGTATGAAATCTCTTCATTTACACAGCATGGCTATTTCTACAACAGATAACAGCTTACATCCAATTTCAGGTGCAATATTGATGGGATAGGAACAAAACCAGAATCCAGCCTCTTTGCATAAGCCACACTGTCTCCTCCTGCCCAAACCTACCTCACAGATTGCATGGGACTCTGCAAGAGACATTCTGAAATGATCTAAAAGTTCTAAAAGATCTAAAAGCTACTTATGCTTTCAAGGCACAAAGAGCTACTTTCTAATTTTTCAGTTCCTTTTAGTCATACAAATCTAGGAGGAAGTGAACAAGGAGGAAACAGAGCTCTCCTTGTATAGAAGCACTGGACAATTCTCTTACTGCAGTATGGAAAGCAGTGGTGTTATTCTCTGCTTTCTAAGAAAACAAAAATTGCACTGCATTAGTTTTACCAAAAGAATCCAAGGAATTAGAACTCCTTTCTTGCCTGCTTCCCTCAACTGGAGGGAGAACTGAACTCTACTGATAGATTCAACTAGACCTTATCTCATGGGGCTGCAGGGGGAAGGAGGGAAATGAGGGAAGGCTGAGGTTGGGTGAGATCACATGGCATCAGTAGATGGGAGCCTTGAATCACCAGACCCAAGCTTTAGTTAGCTGCACTTCACGTGACTGTTAGGAAATGATAGCTGATGAGAATTAAATGGGAGAGAACAAGAGCAGATCAAAAGCATCAATAGGGACATCCCAGAAGAGTGCACTGAGTGACTTGGGAGCAAAGGGGCAATGAGACTGACACAGCTGATGAAACTCACTGTTTGTAGGAATGCCTACAAACTCAGTGGTCTCAAGGAAAGCTGAGGAGAAAAGCCATGAAGTGGACATTCCACAACATTCCTGTATCACCAAAGATACATACGTGTTAGGCTTGAACTGATGCAAAAGACTGTACTTCACTGTGCCTGCTGAATTCAGCCTGATTTCGTCATTCAAGACAAGAAAAACAAAGGGAATGGCACAGCCAGTCTTCCACTCTGCTTCTACAAAGTTTTGCTTCCAGATGCTCAGGAATCAGAAGTTCCCAACTTTCAGGCTCCATAAATCACAAGGAGTACATCAGTTGATAGCAAGAAACGGCAACAGGAATTCACAGGAAATGCCATTTCAAAAGCTTATACAGCATCTGCATTTGGAAGCAATTTTGGCTATAGCCTATTTATTCAGTCACAGGAAATCATCTCTTATTGAGAGAGACTTCTCTCTCAACACAGGAAAAAAACAAACCAAACCTTTCTGAAACCTGAAGCAATTCAGCCACAGGACTTTAAGAAGCAAGGAGCAGTTCAGCCTTGATAAAAACAATTGCAAACCTCTTCCGTGGAGAACTTGTGTGTACTGTACCAAAAGCAACAAAATCTGAGGTGCACTACCATTCACCTTGGGAGAAGAGTTGTTTAAGTACCTTTTTCTCGTACACATCTTGCCAAACAATGCCAGCAAAGAATTTGTGTTGCATAATCTCCTTGGCATCATCAGGACCGCCTCCTAACCTGTTTGGGACAAAATAAAGAAGTGTTTGAATACAGTTATTTTTTCTTCAAACAATTTTTATTAAATGGTACTGAAGAAATTCGGAGTTTACATAACACATTCCAGAGCAATTCTGGCATTTGTTTCACATTTGTTTTTTCTGCAAGGCCTGCAGGACAGTCTATTTTACATGTCAACACAGTTCGTCTAAAAGGTTTGAAAACACATTAAGAAATCTTAGTATGTAATTAAGGCTTCTGTTAAACAAACAAACCTCAGAAAGGATGCTGTCCTACAGCCTAGAGCAGATACTGCAAGTAACGGTCTGAGCAACCTGGCCTTCCCTCCTCCTAAATTCACAAGTGACTACTCCTTAGAGATTTCAAGAGCAGAGCAATGGCAGCAATAAAGCTGAATTTGATTTTGATGCTTAAGAGAGGCAAGGATTTTTAAGACAAACTGATCTATGCAATCTGATTTAAATTCCCATTAAAGAAAACAGTTGACAACTGCAGTGATAATATCATCTTGTATGCAAATCCTTCCTCCTCTTCAGTTTCAAGAAAGCACAAAGGGTGTTTTATTGACTTAAAGGTATATCAAGATAAAGCATTTTTATTCCAGAATAAAACTGTCCACACAGCTTACAGACGTAATCAGTTTAGTTGCAGTCTGGAGCTAACAGATGCTTAAATTTTGCTGTGGAGGTTAAAGTGTTCTCTGAAATACTGAACCACATCTGCACACAAAGACGATGCATTGTGAAAACTAAACACATACTGAGCAATCACAGGAGACTTACACCAGATAACAAGGTGAAGAGACACTCTGGCTTTTGAGCACAAGAAGTGCTAACCCTGTTCACCCAGTCTGACCTTTGGTATCTGCAACTCCTCTGTTCCTGCTGCCATCCCAATGCCACTGGCAAACTGAAAAGTTAACTTGATTCTATGGGCTTGGAACATTGGCTCCAGGCAATCAAGGCTTACTAGTTCAGCATCCATACTTGCTCCCTGGCCCTGTTTCATTTAGTGGCACAGTATTCTAAAGGGTTTGCTTGTCTGTTTCTTCAGGAAACCTGCAGTGCAACATACATCAGACTGCCAGGCTTCAAGTCACAAAGAATGAGGGACACTCTGTCTCCCCTGGTAAACTCTAACTGCAAGTCTAAGTCCACCCCAGAGCCCCACAGGCCACAACAGGCTGGACAATGGCTCTCCCCTCTGTGTGCCAGCATGGCATACAGCTGCAAAGCCACCTGGAACAGAGACAAACGCCAGGGTAGCCTGGGAACAGAGACAAAATCTGTGAGTAATCATCTCTCAGTTGGTTCCCTGCAGGTCTAGAGGGTTTGCCAAGTCTATATCAGGCTCCTCCACTGCTTCCCTGGTGCAGATGAAGATGGCCAGTGAAGAAGAGGGTGGAATCGATCAGTTCTTTCCTCTTTACTCCCAGATGGCACCAGGCTGCACTCCAGCAACTAAGTTTGGGAGTTATGAAGTGACTAAAAGCTACAAAGAACCAAAGTACTGTTTTGCACAAGTATGCAGAAAGGCTGGCTGATTGCAGCCATACACAAGTGCTTTGGAGAATACATTATCTATTATGAGCCTTTGTTCCATGAAGGGCAAATACACACTCAGGGAAATGCCAAGAGAAACCCCAGATGTTTTACTTACCTTTTAAAAACTGTAACTATTAAACAAACCCATTCAAATCTAATGGAAAAACGATAAAAAACGCATGTTTTGGATATGAACTTATTCCAAAATATGCTTATGTTTTTCAGAATTATTATGAAAAGACCCTCTCAAGGTGAACAAAATTGTGTCAGCACCCAATGCAAAAAGCATGCTCAGAACTGAAAGCCCAACAAGTTTGTCTCTCGTAAGAATATGCAACAACTGAAGAAAAATACAGCATGAACAGCAGACTTTTTCAAAACTCCTGTACAGTGATGTTAAATTCTATACATCTAAGTCTTCAAACAGAACCAAGATCTGTATAAAGAGAACTCAAAAATAAAAGGCTGCTGAGGCTTACCGTATACAAGGAAATATCTCAGAACACATGGAGACTGAGAAACTTTTTTTTTTTTTTTTTTAATCCAAATTGGTCTCCTTAAAATGTACCTGCTGAACATTTCTGGTTATTAATTTAACTTCCTTCAAAACTTGAGACCCTCTGGTTTGGTGCTTCAGTTAAATTTCAAGAAGAAAATTATTTACAAATACAACATTATTGTTAAATTCAAACCGTTTCCACACTTTCAATTGTTATGATATTGTGTGTTACTTGCAAGTTACTTTAATAATTTAATCAAAAGTGCCTGTGTTCCACAAGCCAAGGGCAAAGAACTATCATACCATAGGGAAGCTATTTACAGAACGTTTTAATATGTATATGGCCATTATAGATATGTATATTATAAACATTGTATATGCAAAGACACTCAACAATGAACGCATTGTTATCACAGACCAGCTGATTATAATTATTAAGTAACAGGACTTTTTTTTTTTACCTACTCATTCATGTAAAGGTAAGCAGCCAGATCTATTCTCAATTCTTTAAAATGTCCCATGAACTTCTTGTTCCACAGAATTTTTTTTTACCATAAGGGCAGCAGGGCTCCAATGCAGGGAAGCAAGCAGCAACCACGTTCACTCTGGCCTGCCCAACCATCCCATTCCTCATCTCCTGCTTCACCATGCTGGGAGCCACAAAAAAAGATTGTGACTGTGGGCAAAAGCTGCCACACTTCCAGGTTACAGACTTCTGCTGTTTACACATTTGCACATGCACCATTCTCAGATGAAAAGACAGTCACAGCTTTAGTGATTCCAAAGTTTAGCTGCTGGGTTTTTTTTCTTTCACGTGAGTTCTTTGACTCCCCTCCACCTCTTAAAATGGTTTTTGAATAGTGTAAATACACCCACTTGGCTCAGGAACATCAGCTCAGCAAAAGCTCCTTGTGTTCACCAGGTTGGAGCACACAGATGCTTATTTCAGCTTCTCTGATACAGTCAGGAAGGAGAGCAGTACTGTACTTTGGTAAGGTCCCTACCCTCACAGGCCTCTAGCAGCCACAGGCACATATTTATGAATTGCATCTACCCAGCCTTCCTGGGGCCAGTGCTAGCAGCACAGAGAAGCTCTGGCCTGAGTTTGCTCAAACTCACATCCAGACTGATCCTGAACAACTTTGGGTGAAGTAGCAATGTTATTAATGTGACTAATGTTACCGTGTACAACAGCTAAAGCTCAGCCTCCCTTCACAGCACTTGGTGAAATGTGCACAGACCCGATGAGCAGTTCAGGGGATAACCAGGATGCTGAGACTCTCTGGAGATGACAGCTTTTTTGTACTTACAGCACACAGGTTTCAGACACCAGATGCCTGTCACGTGTGATGCCAAAGCTCTGCAAGCCAACAAGACATGAAGCGTGCTGCAGAACAGGAGCAGCTATTCAAGAGCTTATTGCAGAGGAAGCAGGGGGGGTCTGCAGTCCCTACAGTTGTCACCCCCACCTCTTCCAAAGCCAACAGCAGCTGCAAGGGCTGCAGACTTTGCTGTATCTGAGAGCAGGTTTACTCACGCTGCTTCCCCTTCGCACAGCAAAGAACCACAGACAGAACAGACACATCTGCAGCTCTGTGCAGTTGTCCGACCTTTTAACAAGTCTTCCTCTTACTTCCCACATGGCAAGGCCCCACAGCACCACCAAAGGCAACACTGATGAAACGAAGCAGCTTGTGATAAACACATGGAAAGAGGCTGAACGCTGGAGGCCACCCCCCTCTATAGTGGGGAGCACAGAGGGATGCAGTGAAAACAGCATCAAAATTCAGAGGAAACAGCCCTGGAGGTCCCTCAGGTTTAAAACCTGCCAAGGTTCAGTGCCTCTGAGACTCTGCTGGTTACAATGCACCCACACACCTAAGCTCAGCCCATCTACATGGAGCCCTCTGCTGTGTGCCCACCTTCAAAAGCTGCAGACCCTACAGTCAGATAAAGAACAATGAGAATGCCACCAACTTTGCTGTTTTATGTGTACAAATATGCTATGATTACCTCCTTCCATTTGATCTGTCACAAAGCAGCAAAGGAGAATTTCAGGTCACACTAAAAGGAAGTATTTGTAGAATAGATTTTTTCCTTCTTAGGAAAATTAAGGCTCACATTACAAGATTAATAAACTTATATCAATCCCAAAAGAAACTTCAAAATTCCTTTTCTCTTACAAAATGGATTTTATATGACCAAATTTAGAAAACAGCCATTATTAAAAGCAGAATACAATTTATTGTTCTTCATATTTTCCCCATATGCCTGGGAGTTGCTATTACTGAAAGCAGAACGCTAAGACTGCTCCTCTATTTCCAGCTCATGTACAAAAGGTAATTTGTAAGATTTAATTCACCAACTCTGGTCATAATTCATTTATGATTTACACTGAGTTTTGTTATTTCAACTTTTTTTGGGGGGAGGGGAGGAGGGATTTTTACCGGAAAGAAAAATACGTCCCTGTTTCATTTTCCTTTTGCTCATCTCCTCTGTCCCACTCTCGAGCCCACTAGCAGTAACTAAATGCCAGTGGTGATGTTTTCTACCACAGACACTACAATGAAGCCAATTTCTGCCAACCACTGGGCTTTGCTGAGGAGGGGATTTCTGTTGAATTACACAAATTCCCCAAAACATCATCAATAGGCTAATGTGAAATGGACTGCTGCACATTATTTAATTTCAACTGACTTATTTTGTGGCTATCTGGGTGTTTTCCTTTAGCATGGCTGAATGACCTCATTATGAGTCAATCACCACATCTCCCACCCCAACACAGACCACACCGTGTGAACAGCTGACAGTAAAACCCGTAACACTACAAGGGCAGGGCAGGACTCAGGACTGCCATCCCCCAGTACCCCCAGCTCAGCTCTCCCTGCTGCCCGAAATACCACCGAGTGCACTGCATTGCAGAATCCCAACTGCAGTTAAAAAGCTGGGTGAACAGTGATCAGTGAGAAACCAGTATTTAAGAATGGTCCACGATCCAAAAAGCTTGGGAGGCATGAGTGTAATTAGCAAGGTGCAGGCATGTGTGCAGGCTTCTCTAGTCTATAGTTATTTCTATCAGCAGCATGAAAATCATCTGTCCAACAGATCAGAGCATCATTGGTTCCAAGCCTGCTGAAGATACATGTGAAGAAGTGGCTATTTGTATAAAATGAGCATACTGTGGAGTAATTACTGGCATTGGAAAAACCTTGCAATTAGAAACAAGTGGGCGTTCTTTGTTTGTAAACAAACTGCATTTTGGTTCATCAGAAATGCTTCTTTAAGAACAAATTACAACAGATGATGCTTGTGTTTCCAGAGATTGAAAGGCCCCACCTGAATAAGCTACAAGAGGGTCACAATTGTATTTAACCCAGGACTTTCCTAGACAGGAATCCTGCTGGCAGGGGCTGCAGTCACATTTGCTGGGTGGAGTACCCAGAGGGTTGCTAATCCATCACACAGTCAAAAGTAGTGATGGAAGGAGTCCACTCTTGTGACAAAAATCCCTGCTTTAAGAAATCCCAAACTGGCAAAAAGCATTTTCACATTAAGTGCGTGTCTATGCACAAACTAAACAAACATCAGAAAGCAAACTGGAACACTTTACCTACACCTCATGTGAAAGGTTTCCTAGCTTGGGTTCTTTTATGGTGGGAAGGTTCAGAGTCACTATTTTCATTTGTTTAAAATGTGTCTGGACTGACAAGATAGCAGGTTTTCAGACTGATGTTTACACTTGGTGCAAAGGTCAACATCCTTTTTGGATCCTGTTCTATTTTTTGCTATGTTTTGTTTGTTAGCCACTAAGGGTTTGAGTTTTCTTTTTTGTTGATGTTGTTTTTGTTTGGTATTAAGACATAGGCTACTTTTTTTTTTTTTTTTTTTTAAACAAAAGGAGGAAATGGGAAAAGTAGATTAAAGCACAGTATGAACTCCACCACAAACATGGTATAAACACCACCACCTGCTGTCCAAAGCAGGATGATAGATCACTGGCACAGATTGAACAGAAAATTCAGAAAGCTTACTGTAAGCAGCCTGAACTTGGATAGATGGTAAAACAATTACTGTAGAGCAGCTGATAACTCACAGCAACGATCAGATTAATTATGACCAAAAGCAAGATTAACTTGCTTTGTCCAAAGCTATAGCTGGCAGCCATCAAGTTCTGAAATTCGGCCTTGTGATCAACAAAACTGCTTCATGTTGCCATCTGCAATCCAGCTTGAGTCAAAAGTTAAGATGAAACTGAATAGGTCTGTGTGCTACATCTCTCAGCTCTACTTGGTGGATGATAATTTTGAACCAGTTAAAAACAAATCCAGAATTTCATCCGAAATACCTTCCTCATTTTTAAATACAGAAAGACTGGCATGTGTGCATTCAGTATCCTTTGTGCAGAATCCTCTTCAATTACTTCTCAATGGTGGAGATATGGATCATTTAAGTGGCAGCACAGGAACAGCCACTTTTAAGTCATTTGTCTAAAAAGACAGCTCCCTTTCACGGGCACACCTCTACATAGCACAGTTACTAACTTTTTTGTGAAGGCTTTAAAAGATACATTTCCTTGATTTATTTAGCTATTTCTGAGGGAATGAGTGTTTAAAAACACAAACATTAAGAAACAGCCTCACCTTTGCTTAGGATCTTTCTTCAGCAAACCTGACAAGAGAGATTTTGCTTCAGGTGACAAAGTGCGTGGAAATCTAATCTCTTCCATAAGGATGAGTTCAAAGAGCTTTTCATGGTCCTGATTGTAGAAAGGGAGCCGGCCACACATCATTTCATACATCACAACTCCTAATCCCCACCAGTCCACTGCACGACCATAGTCATTATCTTCCAGCACCTGCAGAAATGTAAAGAGAAGGCTTTAGAAGACACTTCTACATTGGGAATGAACACAGAACTCAAGAGGCAAAATTTACACCAAATTCATGTTCTCATGTTACACAGCAAAATCTATTAGCACAGTGTTTTCAGAAGATCCTCCTTGAAAACAAAGGTCAAAAGAGACAAGAGAGAGCACTGTAGATGAGCAAGATGGGGAAGAGAAGAAAGTGTGCATGTTATGGCAATATTCTTCTCCTCTTCCTTCTTCTACCCTCCCCCCTCTCATTACATCGATGGTAAGCAGAACCTTTGAAAGCCCAAAGGCTGAGGACTGTTCTCACATTACAGAGCCAGCTGCTGAATTTTCACTTATTCATCACAAACTGTTCCAAATGGGATCTCATTAATATATATATATATATATATATAATTTTTTTTTTTTTTAAGTGAGATCCTATTTGGAACAGTACATATATATGTATGTAAAATCGAGGAGCCGTTTTGGGAAGAGGTAAAAAGCCTACTGGTCTGTTACTTCAGAAGCAACAAACTGAAAATCAAACTGATCATCACAATCATCTCTGCATTAACCTGCTCCTACTCAAAGGGCTACTCTGCACATCACAAAAGACCACCCACAGACACCAAATGACTAATCCACATCCAGTCCTAAGAGCCAGAACTCCCCTCCTAACACTTGACCGACTGCAAGGCTGTAAAATGGCAGCCTAAGTGATATATTTCCCTTCCTCCCTCCAATGGGACTTGCAGACTGGCTCCAACACTGAAGGCCCTCATTTCAGCTTCTTCCAGTTCTCACAGCAGAAGGGGTTCAGCACATTCATTTTTCCCCTCCCCTGGGTATTTCTACCCAACAAATCCCTGATTAATGCAGGGCCTCGGGGCTCAGCAGTGCTCTTGCTCCACAGAAGTACTTTCACACTGCATTCCTCATCCTTTGCACCAACAGTTGCTGAGGAGATCAGGAACGTTTTGTGGCTCATGGAGTGGATGTTAGGAGCACTTCCCCAGACTTCATGTCTCCAATATAGTTGTCTGTAGTTGACACCAACAGTCTCATATTCCAGACCCTGTCCTCAGGTTTTACTTGTCATCTTCAGTCTTTTCACAGGTCTGCACTGAACTGTGTACTGTCACCAAGAGTCAAAACCACCACCAGGACACCTCCATTCCCTCTCAGTGCACGGCGGCTGAAAGAGCTTTACATTGCTGAAGTACAGAATTCTCTGCATTCAAAACTAAAAGGGTGAAAGAGTCAACTGAAGTTGGCAGCTTTCCCTTTAACAGAAGCAGGATCCGAACCTCCTGAAAACCTTCAGAAATTTTTTTGTGTGTGCAAAACTTAAATATTGAGACTCTCTGGAACAACTGCTTGCGCTTTGCCTCTATTTATTCACTAATTATTCCCCTTAATTATCTGAACGAGGGAAAGGGCCTGCAGTAAAAATCAAAAGGCTGCCAGGTATTAGATTACCCCACGCTGGTCTATTTACAGCATCCCCTGCCGTATGATTCACACCAAACGACAGCTGGCTCTGCAGCTGCCCCATATCTGTATATGGCCGACACAGCTGCCGGCCGGACAGGATTCCAGGAGCCAGCCTTCCCGAGGCACTGTGGCCCCTGTGTGAGTGTGCAGCTTCTGCACAGAGTGCCCCACTTCCAATCAATTCTTCTTGCTCCTGCTGCCCTGCTTGAGTTTACCTAGAATAAATTTGTCCGGGGTCTCTGTATATTTATATGTTGCTGCAGGAGCTACGAGAGGAGAGGATTGAAAGCAAAACACCATGAAAGCTGTGGTTGTAGTATGGGCAGTGCTACAGGTGCTTTCAAAAGGCACAGAGTAATTCAAACATTATTTTAGTGAGGATACTACAAATGCATTATAGCACAGGTTGTTAACTACGACCCTTTCCTCTTCTCCATTAATTCTAAACAGAATATAAATTGCTAATTTCTTCAAAGTGCTTTATCATGAATGTGAACACATAAATGCTCATACTTGTAATTGCATAAAACAGAGTAATGGTACAAGTATTAAAAATATACCTTAATGAAAAAGGTATTACACATACCCATGATTTACTGCAATGTGCAGGACAGCAGTGAAATAACAAGGTCATTTCACTTAAAGGATGATCAATCCCTAACAAGCAGCTCTAGACTGCTGTGAGATGGAATGTGAAAGAGAAGGCACAACAGCTGTAAACATCACAGTCGTTGATATATCTGACACATCAAAGTTGACATGGTTCAGTCACTGTCATCCATGCACAAGATTCCAATATGAACCTAAAAACAACTATGCAGCAACTGTACAAACAGGCTGCTCACCAGATTCAAGTTACAGACACAGATAACGAGAATGAGACCTCTGCTTTTAAGGATGTTTGACCTTAAATGCACAGAACATCACTCAAGCACAATTTCCAGATTTTTTGCATGCTATCAACCAGATGACAAAAGCCTCTAGAGTTTAACACTCCAGCTCACAGGTGGATTTGAAAGTAAAGGAGAGAGCTGGGTTAATCAGAAGGATTTGTCCTTCAGGGTTTTGGATGAGCCAACTCATCATAAATATGAAAAATAACAGCAAACAGTATTACTGAAAAAATAACATAATCTACACAGGGAATTAACACGTGCCAAGTTAAGAAAAAACAAATACTTTTTAATCACCTCACAAAATCCTTGATGAGAAACTGAAGTTCAGCCATTGATTTTAGGAGGAGAGCCACCAAATAAAAGCCATGTTTATGAATAAAATATACTCTTTGTTGTGCTGCTAATTACTCCCTGCATCAGTGCATCTCAAATTGAGCTGCACAGACCCCAATTTAGAAATATTGAAGACTTCTAGTGATCCATGGAGAGCTGGCTCCACCTCTTTGCTGCAAGCTACTTCGACAGGTGCCCATGTTCCTCATTATTACCAAGACTGCAGGCCCTTGAGAGCAGCTGGTAGTTAAAACAAAAATAAGAGAGCATACAACTGCCTCCACTGCCACCACCACGCAAGCTGCAAAAGCACTGATCAGCAGTGACATCAGCTCTCCACAGCAATATTCCTCCTCCCCTTTGGTCTTCTGTGCTTTGTACCTCTGCGTACTTTGACTCAAGGAAGGTTTGCAATGCACACCTCGGAGAGAAAGAATACATCCTGGGCGTGCCTGCAATACCTAATCTGCTGGCAGCCCAAGACTCGCTCCCGCCTGTGCTCTGAGCTGGACGGCAGCCGTAATGCTATGGGTAGCAAAGTGCAGGCAATGAGCCCTTCTGTGAGGCATGGGGCATGAGCTCAGGCACTGTGCCCAGCTAATACAGCAACTGCTTCCAGACAGGTTAGAGCGTAGGCAGAGAAAACCAGCATCTGTCTGCAGAATACCACGTTTACATCTTCTCTATCACACAATTTCGCTTTTGATCTGCCCTTAACTAACTCACTGCTCTAACAGCACCTATGTTGCACAACTTCCCAAAGAAGTATTTCCAGGATGAATGTTACAACCATGGATTTGGATTTTATGCTTTGCAAAAACACTTTTTGTAGAAAAAATGGCCCCAAAATATATGCTTGGGGATTCAAGTTTCCTGCTTGGGCTTCCCTGCTTGGGAACAGCTGTTTACAAGGGTGGATAGTGATAGGACAAGGGGGAATGGTCTTAAACTGAGACAGGGGAGGTTTAGGCTAGATATTAGGAGGAAGTTTCTCACACGTAGGATGGTGACACACTGCAACAGGCTGCCCAAGGAGGTTGTGGATGCCCCATCCCTGGAGGCATTCAAGGCCAGGCTGGATGTGGCTCTGGGCAGCCTGGTCTGGTGGCTGGTCATCCTGCACATAGCAGGGGGGTTGAAACTAGATGACCACTGTGGTCCTTTTCAACCCAGGCCATTCTATGATTCTATGATTATTTCCTTAATAAATTAACCCTGAGGAAGACCTTGCGCATTTTCAGCCATGAAGCAGTTGGCACTTTTAACATACACAGTGCTGAACACTGAAAAAAGAGCATGCTCCTCTGTACAAGTTTTTTTTGTTTAAATTAGACTTCTGACACAAGAAGCAAGCAGTCCTCTGTCAAAATGTAAATATTCCCTAGAGCAACAGGAAAATGCTACCACATCTGGAAATTATCACACATCTTCATAGTGAAGGTACGTCCCAGAATGATGAATAAAAGATTTTGAGTATGTGTTATGTAACAGTAGTGCTGTATGAACACTATATGGCACAGGAGTTATTACGGATTGCTAAAGCCGTTATGGATGGCATTTAAGAATACAATTTTGACTAAAAGCCAATGTAAACAGACCTCTGGTGCAAGATACTCTGGAGTGCCACAGAAAGTCTTCATTGTTGCTCCATCTTTTATGCCTTCTTTACATAGTCCAAAGTCTGTAATTTTTATGTGTCCATCTTTATCCAGCATAAGATTTTCCAGCTGAGAACAAAACCCAAAGGAAACACATTAGATATAACATACACTGCTCCTGAGCAAGTCGATAAAAACCATGAATTTCTACAGATTGATCACAGTTTTGAAACATGTTTTCACTGGAGTCTAAACTACAGTAGCTGCCAAAGCACGTGTGATGTAAATATGCATTTATATCACATTCCCTAGTTCTTTAAGGGAGCATTAGGTGACTCATTTGCAGTCTTTGGGTAAGTGGTCATACATACAAAAAGATACAGAACGTAAACATTATATTTATGCATCCAAAATATTATCAACAACAGAACACCAGATTCTTTTAAAAATAACATTGTTACTCCTCACATGACTTCATCCCTGCTTTCATTCTTATGTGAATGTATAAAAACTTCTGTACTACTAAACAATAGTAAATGAATGAAAGTAAATAAATAAGTGTAAGTTTAAGGAACCGTTTGTCAGAGGTCCTTTAGATGGCAATCATTTTGTACATCCATTCAACACCTGATATTCATTCTAGTCTGCACTACCAATTTCTAACAAGACCATCCAGATTTCAAGAGAGCTTCAACTATGTATGAAACAAAGTGCAATTTCAAAGGAATCAGAGTGATATGGGATACAAAATCCCAGCAGGAATCCCTAAAAGCACTTTGAAGTAGCCTGCAAATATTACCTTGCTTGCTCCCACTAGCATCACCTCATTCTCTCCTGAAAACACTTCTCAGAAAACCAGTTTTGCTGTTGCAATACCCCTGAGAACTTCCCTCCTTTGTTTTCCCTGAGATTTCTTACTTGGTGCTTTTCCCTCTCTGCTTAACAAACATAAGCCATTTGAACTTTATGCAATTTTCTCTCTGCAAGAAGGTACTATGAAGATAGTGATGCACAGCAGACTGAAAGGAAGAACAACATCCACACAGTGTGAATTTGCACGTATCTGATAAGACCTGGCATGAACAGTCCAGAATTGTATTTCACCACACATGAAGCAGAAAGGTTTCTTTTGGAACAAGCAGTCAGGTAAGAACACAACCCACGATGCTCAGACCCTCTTTGTATTCTCCAAAACACTGCCAGAGCCCTGATAAACGCATTAGACAAGCTCTTAGGCTACAAAGGTGTTTAGACACCCTGTAAAGTCAATCCCGACAGCTGCAACAACTGTTATGTTAAACTTCAGTGAGAAAAGGCTTTCTTACAGTGAAGGCTCATTCATTTCTGTGACTAAGAAACCAAAAGCCCAAATCCAAAAAGCCTCCGAAATTGTTTTTCTCCATACCTTCAAATCTCTGTAGACCACATTCTTCTCTGAATGCAGGTAATCCAGCGCTGAAACAATCTCAGCTCCGTAGAAACGCGCCCGGTCTTCAGAAAATACACGCTCTCTCGACAGATGGAAAAACAACTACAAGACCAACAGTGTATCACATTTAGATTGTGAATGTTTTTGTGTTACGTCTAACACTTTGCAGGCCATCCTGCACCTGATGTTACCTAAAAGAAAACCCCTTCCCATCCACACCCAGTTGTGTTCCCAAGTGTTTTGAAAACCATCATAAACAATGCATTATAACTCATACTCACAGATGTATGCTAATAACTAGTTCGTGTGCTACACTTTCTTGTGCGTATAGAAAATAAAACCTTTTAATCAAATTACAATTACATATTAAAACTATCGTATGGCACAGTTTAGAGAAAATGTTGATATTTCATCTTTTCCTTCTTAACTAACGGCATTTTGCTGCACTTCAAATTCTCTCCATAGTAACATGCTCATAATATTCATCTAGAAGTGTTAAAACCTACCTGAAAAGCAAACAGAAAGCAAGTCGCTTTTCTGAATAACTAAATGTCAGATTAAAGTATGTTGCTGTCATGTGTAAAATACATACCTACACCCAAACCTGCACTTACTAAAAGTGGAGTGAAGAAATACATGAGTCTTAATTCTTAACATTAGTTAAAACTGTAGACAGCTCTGTTTAGGTGGGACAACTTGGATTAACTAGAAATGCAAACACAGACATTAGCTAAACAATGCCAAGCACGATTAATACTACTACAGGAATATCCTACATTATTAAACATTGTTACATTTCCCTTACCTCTCCTCCATTAGCATACTCCATAACAAAACACAAGCGATCGTGTGTCTGAAAGGAATACTTTAAAGCCTGAAACAGATTTAAATCAAAACTCAGATGATCACATGGACAGTTATAAAAAGCATTTTGAATAAGTTTTCAGAATCACAGACAGACAAAAAAAAAAAAAATTAGTGGACTTTTTGTCCTTGACTCTTGCAGTTTCTCATTTGAGCTGAGTGCTGATCCACTGCCAACTTATCTTATTAAATATATTTAATGCAACGTTACAAAAAAAAATCCCTTGCAGAAGCTATTGGTAATGCCTATAATGGTGTGAGAAGCCCTAACCCATTACAATGGCACAAAATGCACCGGCAATGGCACTGAAATATCCTCCACAGGCCACAAGCTCCCAGTTTGATCTCTCAGACAGTGGGCCACAGCCAAATCCAAGAGAACAAGGTTTTGCCACGCTGGCAGCAAGCCCATTAGTGTGAAACAAGTGCATTTACGGACACCAGCCCCCTGGTCTCTGCCCTGCTCACTGCAACTGCTCTCTGTTGACAGCCTGCCAGGGGATTGAGCAATGCTATCAATATCCACTTGTGAGCAATTTGCAAAAACAGATCAGACAGAGGGTGTGATGGAGTGCCACAAGGTGCCTTTGTACCGTTGTGTCATGGGTACTCCTGCAGCAAGAGTAACACCAACTTGTTTGCCACGGTCTTATGTTTCTTGGTCACAACCTGCTCTCCTAGCTGACTTCAAGACAGCCCTTGTTTTGGATTTTAGGGTTTATGAAAGCAATGAGAAAATACCATGTGTGGTATCATAATCATCTTCATTATTAAGGAAATCATTTTTATACCAGCCATGGTTTTGCAAAGAAAGGGAGAATCAGGTTTTAGACGTGTCAACAAACATGAACTGATTATACTCAATTCAGCTAATATTTACTTCCAGAGGTCGTGCTTAAAAAGTTTAAATTCCAGTTAAACTCATGTGTACCTGGATGAAGGAAACCACCAGGATACTACACAGGTCTCTTAGAGGCCTGAAGTGGTTGGAAATGATTCAAAGCAAACTTGTAATGAATACTACAAGGTCTTGTACTAGAACTCAATCCAGAGAGACTGCTAGAGTTGTAAAGTGAGGCTACAGCTTCATTTAACAGTTAGCCAATGTAAGTGGAAAGCAACAGATAAAGCACGGTTCTGCCCTCCCCGGTCTCACCCCCACACTTCTGCTGGCACTACAACAACTCTGATTACACGGTGAGCTGCTTGTGGGAATTTGAAAAGGAAAAAAAAATTAAAGGACTTTTCCCACTATGTAACCCTGAACTCATCTGTCACAAGGTCAGAGTCATCCTGGTCTCTGCCACAGAGGACAGCAAGCATTTGGAGAACAGGGAAAGCAAATACTTCTCTCAAGAGACAGGAGCCATTATGCAGGTGAGCCATAACATCAAATCACATCCTGAAACTACAAAGCCTCAGATTTCAAGAGGCACTGAAGGTCTGATCCACAAGACTCTAGAAAGGACTATAATTTATGCTTCCCAAAAATGGAAACATACAAGAATATATACCTGCTCTAAAAACACAGATCATTATATAAACAACCAAAAATAAAGAAAGTCTCAGTTGTCACGATGTTAAGTTACAATCAATAGAAGGACAAATACTTACTGTTAAGAACGGATGCCGTGAGTTCTGTAAAACACGGTTTTCCGTCAGCGTGTGTGCTACTTCATCCTGAAACACAGGCAGAAGGAAATCACTACAGTGATTCTGCAGATCAGGGGGTTTATTTCAAACACTACTGGAGCAATTATTTACAAGTGCTCACAGTACCCTTGTTATGACTTTCCAGAAGGCTACAGCAAGAATGAACCATGTTCCCGACTTTCCCACCTACTCACCTTTGCTACAATAACTTCCTTCTTCAGAATTTTCATAGCATAATATCGTCCAGTTGCTTTTTCTTTAACTAAAATGACCTTTCCAAAAGTGCCTTTTCCCAGTAGCTTAAGGTATTCAAATTCATTCATGGTCTGTTAATGACACAGATAAGTAAGAACTGAGTTATATGAACTACCAATAAGTACATCATTCTCAGACTAAGATTTCTCATTCCTGTAAGAATACTATGCACATGCATTAACACTTTTGCTTAGCTAAAAACAGAAGTAGAAATAATTCTTCCATAGAAATCATAATCATAGAATCATAATCACAGAATGGTTTGGGTTGGAAGGGACCTTTAAGATCATCTAGTTCTACCTCCCTGCTTTAGGCAGGAACACCTCCCTCTAGAGTGGGTTGGTCAAAGCCACTCATCCAGCCTGGCCTTGAATGCTTCCAGGGAGGGGTCATCCACAACCTCTCTGAGCAACCTGTTCCAGTGCCTCGCCACCTCACAGTAAAGAATTTCTTCCTAATATCTAGTCTAAATCTGCCCTCTTCCAGTTTAAAGCCATTTCCCTTCCTCCTGTTGCTACATGCCCTTATAAAAAGTCCCTCCCCAGCTTTCCTGTAGGCCTGGTACATGAGTACCAGTACACTTAGGAAACATAATCAAACCAAGAAAAACCATAAACTGCCTGCTAACAGAAAACTCATTCACTACTTAGCATATTATCACTCTATAGACACTTTGATTGCTTTGTCAGCGCTCAGAAAGATTTGTATCTGCTCAGTCAAGGATGCAGAAGGCTAATGGCAGCTACAATTCAGAGTGACACATAAATAGTCACCCACATCAGTCCAAAACCAACAACATGACACAAGGCTGGCCGACATACACAGCAGCCTCTGGTGGATAGTTTATATTTTATCTTTAAAAATTTCATCAGTTTTGCCAAAACTGAAGCAAAATTATGAATGTAATGGGGGATGACAATAGTGAGACAAGGACACAAAAAATGCTTTGCTATAATCCAGACATGGCATTTGCACAGGAGAAGGTTAAATCAATTTTCAATTACAAGTGCCAATGGGAATCCTTTGGAAAATGGAAACCCAAGTAAGAGGCACAGATAGGGCACAAAAAAGGCTGAAGGAAGATGTCCAAAAGGACTCCAAAGGGCAGAGATCTACACTGGCACATACTGTTTCCATGCAAGCCAATTCAGTCATTACTCTACTCAATGCAAAAACCCAAGCTCTATGAACACTATGGATGGACATATCAGTGGTTGTCAGTAAACCCAGGCCCTTAATCCGGAGAAAACAAATCCACTGGATCCACCCTAAATCTGCATACTGCAGATACTGGTGTATACTGCAGTAGCCTGCAACAACACAGCACACAGAGTTTACACAGAGTCAAGGTACAGTGAAAGCTACAATTTCAGTTTCTGTTACCACAGGAAAATGGGCAAACTTCTTCTAGTTTTAAGCTGGCCTTAGAAGTCAAGCATTATATCCAAGTTTAGAATGCTGGCAAACCCAGTCAGGCTTTGATTGGTATCTGCTCATCTCTGACAATTGTTTCATCCAGAAGCCACGTCTACAAAAACTGCATAATTTTACAGGAACAGATGTGCCTTGATGATTGCTTCTTGTCTACATTCAAGAAGACCTAAAATTTATTGTTATTCCTGTTATGCTTGCTTACCACTTTGTGTTTTGGCTTTGTCATAGAAACTTCCATTTCTTCAGCACCTGAATTATCACTAGGAGAACCAGATCTAAAATCCATCATCTCTTCCTCCTGTTTCTTGAGGCTGTCTGCTACAGTTTGGATGGCTTTTGTCCATTCTTCCCTAGAAAAATACAAGCAATTATATCTGTTACTTGCAACTCCAGATTACTGTCAGCCATAGCAAGGGTCTCCAAGGAATACAGAAGAATTAATGCTCTCAAACACACCAATGCAATGTACACTGAATTATGCGTTTTCAAGCACTATAAAAACACATTTTCAAGAGCATTTTCAGGCTATGTCTTTACCACTAGAAAATAAAAGGCAGCAGAAGTCCCAACACTCCATATCAACTTAAGACTCTTTAGCACATAAGACTTCTAATGCACTGTCAGTCATCAGGTCAAGATATGACCTAGTGATACAGAGATTTACATAACAAAAGCAGACTTGCCAAAACCAAGAAGTAGAAAGATCCCACGCCACACAGCACAAGCAATTAAACACAGCTCCTCCATTCCTACACTGCACTGAAACACGTATATCCAACTGCTGGGGGCACTATGCCACCTCTTCACACACATATCCCAAGTTTCAATGGCAAGGAATGTTCTAGGAGAAGTTTTAAGTTATTCTTCTCTTGGATAGATGGATGACAGCAGCTCTTTTGTAAAAAGTTTAGCAGAATGTCAGCAAAAACAGTGACAGAGGCACGATTACAAGAAAGTTCCCACAGCCATTTCAGCAACTGCTGCTCTGCTATTGACCCCTTTAACTCCTATGCAGACCATCTTCCCTGCACTGAACTTTAGGAAATTTCATACCTTTGAAAACTATTCAAGTAAAAGTTTTTGGCATTCACCTCATTTCACTGCAAATGCACTGAGCACAAAATATATAACCCAGTGTCTCACAGGGTTTTGGGAAAACCCATAACGAGTGCAGGGGCTGAAGAGATGTTTTGTGGACTACGTGAATTTACCATTTTTTATTGTGTCTTTTGCAACTTTAAGGAACAGGATGTTGTGGTCTAGTTGAAATTTTGGGGGCACTGGCTAAACTCTTCGTCCTAGGACATCACAGGTAAACTACTCTCATGACAACAGGAATATAAATAAGTAGCCAATGCTGAGCAACGCCACACATGATCAGCAACATACAGGAGAAGCCATACCATCCTAAGCAATGTCACAATGTTTTGTCACTGGCTGTATGAAATAATATAATGAAATATCAGATTAAAAAAAAAAAATCATGCCTGACCATCTGAATTGCAATTTCTATTGGATGAAAACAGCAAAGTATTCGACACAGGGACCAAAGTCCATGGAAAAATTACCTGACATAAGATTCTAATACAACCTGTACTGATTACGTGTAAGATCTTTTATGGCCCATGCAGGTTTTTTGGGGGATTTTGCCTGACTAATACAGCATCCATTTCTATTTTGCAGATATAGGAGAAATCCAGGAAATCTTCCCTCATCTCCAAGAGGTAAGACAGGTGTACAGAATCACCAATTTGGGGTTAAAGAAAAAAAAATAAAAAATCACCTCTTCTATGTGACGTGTCTCCAAAAGGCTGTTCAACATATGCTATCCAGCCCTCTCTGGGGCAGTAAGGTAATGCTAAACATAGGAATTTCTGGATGTTCTCCTATGCTCTCAGCAGAGACTCCTTCACTAAAAATCACAAACATAGTCCTTTATTTAAAAGTCATGTTTGTTATTCAGAACTGGCACAGAGAAGCTAAAGGCTACCTCTGCATCTCTTTCAGGATTTATTACTGACTTAGTTGAGATCGTGACCTTCCTGAAGTCAATCTCTGATTTCTGGGATACCAGAATTTCACCTTCAGCTTTTACATCTCAAGTGTACACAACAGAGGTGACTAATGCCCAAGATCTGAAGCGTCACCGAGCTGACTCCATTGGTTAGGAGGGAACAAAACAAGACAGAAATTTCCCCAAGTGGAAACTGTTATTCACTCACTTTAGGGTCAGTGACTGCAAAGCTACTAAACGAAACAAGGACCAGTTTATTTTTCTTTGCTTTAATTTGATTTCTCTTTCTTCTGAATACTGTAATAGAATCAAAAGCGATAAATAAGTGTCTTTAAATCACTACACATAAAGGCTACGGTACAAAAAAGCAAAGAAAGTTAAAATCAAACACGTACCAGTATTATACCTACAGAGGACCATGGTTTTAAAATACTCCTTCCCCTAGGGCAATGATACTGGAATAATTTAAGTTCAGTTCCTGAAGAGCAAGTAAATATTTAAATACTCTGTAGTTGTAGAGTAGCTATGCTGGAAAACTCTTCTGTTAGGAGCTAAGAGATCAATTCTCTAATGATGAGAGCACAGGATGCATGCTCTTAGCTTTGTTTCCTAACAACTGAAATAGAAATCTGCACCTGCAGCAGATAACTATCACCTTTATTATCTAATTTGCATAAAACATTAGCAATCAGCAGTGATACTACTAACATTTTTTCCTTTAAAAACAAGGAGTCTGAAAAGAAATTAAAAGGTCAGCATTGTGACACAACTCAACTTTGCTTGCATCTCTTTCACTCGTGTTCATCCTTCCAGAAACTCCCAGGTCAGAAACACTTCACATACCACATAGTTCCCAGTAAGAAATGAAGCCTAACCTTCCAGAAATAACTACCTGTGTGCTGGTACAGACATACACCTGGCTTTTTTGGATATCCAAACCAACATCATTTCAGTGATAGACAATATCCTTCCTAAAAGCCAACCCCTCTTCAAGGAACCTTCTATGCTACAATTTTTGAGTGTCTCAGGTTTAGTTTGTTACTTTTCAGTCTAGATGTACATCACCTGGTAAATAAGAGCTTCAGGAAAGGTCTTACTATTAATGCTGAACGCTCGCATCTGCTTGTGCAAGTAGTTTTATGTATTAAATATGAATGAAACATACCGCTCCTCTGGAGTCTCCACATGAAATGTTCTTTCAATTACTGTGGTCCACTGGAGGCATCTAATGATAAATGTGTTTGGTTTAGGTCGTTCTGTCTTCATCAGCTGGCACTCTACCACAATCAAGGAAGAAAGAGTCATGGTACATAAGCAGGTTTAAATAATCATTTGTCTTTATTCTTATCTAGCAAACTGTTGCAATTAATCAGCCATTGAAATCTCTGTAAGTACTTCTTTAGGCAACTTGAAACAATTTACTGTGTTGATGAAACCAATAAATAGCTTGTGAGATAGTAATCTAAGCAGCACTGAGAACAAATTCTGCTTAGAAAGGCTCCATGTTTGGTCTGCCCGGAGAGGTAAGTAGAAATGTGTTGTGATGACACAGAAACCATTCAGACACAGATCCTACACTCCAAAGGTCATCCACCAACACATGGATAAAGTCAGCTGATAGCACAGCAATTACCTCCACTGAAATTAAAGCCAAGCCTCTACGTTCCCACCCTCTGATGTTCCAGACACAAAATCCAGTCTTTGGCTTTCAAGGAGTTGCTGGAAAGCGTATTCGGTCATTTTTCATTGCTCTGATGGAGATTAGACTCTGGCAGAAAGCATTTCAGCCCTCAAACATTAGAGGGAGCAACAAACTGCAGGCACCCCTCAGAAGAGACCCCATTCCAAACAGCACCCAGAGAGCTGCCACCGCTGTGCTCAGCTGGAAGGACTGTCATCCCTGTCAGCATTCAAGCAGCACCTCGAACCTTTGAGGAAATGTAGCCACATTCAAAAATACCACATTCTTCATAAATACGCCCCTTGAAGAGCTGAACGTGATTTATTTATTTTTAAGCAAAATAAACACATCTTCTGTTTCAATCTTCTGTAGGATATGATGAGTGCTTACCCTTCAAATTTGGGCACCTGATCAAGGGTACACAAACTATAAAGCAACCAAAACCAAACCAAATCAGAAGAAGGTTGATTAAATGACAGCAGAAGCCAAGGCACTACAGTTTCCAGATTTATATTAAAATAAAATCCAACGCTAATTAAAAAGTTCCTCTTCAAGCAAACTCAAAATAAAGTGAGTAGAGGGATAATGGGAGAAGTGTTCTTCCAATAACGATTCTTCCTAGCAGTTAATGAAACCACAAACTCACTGTGATTTGGTCTTCAGGGTCTGAATCAACTTCCAAGTGAAAGGAAGGCACTGAAAAGACAAGGAAAAATTTCTGCTTCCTGCCAGAGCTACAAACACATTCAGCTATACACAAGCTGAGGACAGGATATGGCCAGATTATTAATGTGGATTAACAGTCCATGTTAGTAGGGATCCACCGCTATCGTTAGGCTAACTTCATTGTTGTGAAAATTTAGAGTGCTCAGTTTTAAATTCAAGCTCTTAATTAGCACCCAGATAAAATATTTACCACCAGTGTTTTTGGGTGCTGTATTTTGGCAATATATTTTGTGCCTCATTTGCTACTGGAATTATAAGGTTTTCAATGAGTATCTTTGCATTTTTCATGACAAGAAAATCTAATTTTTCTTTAGTAGCATGCTGAGGTTATACTGCATCCTACTAAAGTACAGCAATTAGACAAGAGAAAGTTTATTAATGAGTCATGAAAAGGTTTTAGTGTGATAAACAGCACTCCTTTATTCACCGAGATTAAAGGATTTCCACAAAACAATGTGGCTGTGCTTCCAGAACACCGTATTCTGCCTTCCAGCACCTCCAGCACCCTCTGCAGAACGGCCACTAATGCTGAACACAACTGCAGAACCTGGCACAGTCCAGTAAGCCCTGTTCTGATCAATTTAACTCAAGAAATCTCATTCCTGCTCCAAGATCTGCCACCTTAGCTAAGCTGCTCTTCATTTTTTTTGTTTGCTGTATCTCCCGTTTTTGCCTGACTGCTTAACACAACTAGATTAAGGCTGGGACTGTCCTCTATGAAACTGCACAATGCAGACACGACAGATACTGAATTTGGCTGAAGACTTATAGAAGAAAACAAGGCTATTTCCAATCTTCTGCAAATCCAGAACTCTTACTGCACTTATCCACAAGTACAATGTGATAAGGAAACAAACTGAAGGTGTTGCTTATATTTTTATAACAACCTTTAGATGCATATTCAGTGCCTCAGAATAAATACACTGAATAAGTGACATAGATACTTCAGTTAACCATGAGCTCTAAACTTTAACCATTTAATTTCAGCATAATAACCCACAGAAGATGTTGTCTGTCTCAGAAGGGGACCAAATAAATACCACTGCTCTTCCCCCAGGTCAGCACTGTTATCGATATCTGTTAAGCCTGCTGATCCAGCAATCTTTAATGCATGCAGCAAGACGAATAATAGAGATTTGTCAGTTAATAACCACTATAATTCAAGTATGTCACATAGAAATGTTTTGTTTAGTGAACAATATGCTGTCTAATTACCCTGCTCAATCATAACAGCACATAAGAAAAAATACAGAAAGCTTTATTTTTAACTTGCCTTACCAGTGCAAGGGCTGTACATGACAGGTTTCAAAAAGTTTGTAGCTCCCACTTTGCTGCATATGGGAAGAACCAGCACACGGATTTTATCAGTAAAGTTAGGAAGCAGTGGGTTTTTTCCTACTTTTAGAACCAACTCTGTACTCTTTATTGTAGTTGGTAAGCAGAAGAAGCACCAAAGTTGTCTCCTATTATCATGTACAGCAACAGGCACTGCTATAGCAGAGCACAAATACAGACTCTGCATAATATCAGGTCTGATTCATGGCACATCTGGGGGTTCTGCTGTAAAAACATTCACATTTCATCTACGGGCTGATGGTCATTTACTCAATCTGACAGCAGTTTTTCCTGTCAAACAGGACAGCATATGTATCCTTCATTTGCAACGAATAAACAGCAGCCTGTTAAAAATGATTTAAATTGCTCTGAAGAACCTCTTGATTCTTTCCTGGTGTTTGGTCTTTTAAAGTAAGTAGGACAGAGAAATTGTTTCTAACAGGAATAGACACCAAGGCATTCAAATGTAAATTACCATTTTGTGTTTGAAAGACACTTAGTATTATCCCAGTGACTTTCTAAAATGTCACAATATTTGCTTCACCAGCACTTAAGCTAAAAGGCAGATTACTTGCAATGAAAGTGTCAGACTCTGCTCCCTATATAATGACATCACACTTTAAACCAATAATGTCAGGCATCCTTCCCATTCCTGCTTTGGTTTCTTTAAGGAAGGAGATAGGAAAAAAATTTTTAAAAAGGCAAGTTGGAAAAAAACAAAGGTGAATAAATAAGACTTCGGAAAGTCAAAAAGGAATACTGCATTGAGGTATTTTCTATTCTAGCATCACTGAGCAGATCCCCCCTGCCAAATAGCCCAGCATGGCTAAAGTGAGGAGGTGGGAGCCCTGAGACCTACATTTAAGTGGCCAGAATAGCAGCAGACTCAGAAAATGTGCCTACAGATCTGGCCATACTATGCCCTGTGATAAATGCCTGACTGCAGATATCCAGTCCTGCCCCAAAAGGACCACTCACTGTTGAGCAATTATGTTTTCAGCTGTGCAACAAAACCACTGCAGTCCACCCTCCTTTTGGACAGCCAGAGAAATAATCCCTTCTTCCTAAAAGGAATAGCCCTTTTCTCTCCATGCTGTTTATCACAATATACAACTCTTCTCAGCTATACAGTTTTAAGAGCTTATAACCTAATGGGCAAACATACACAGTAATCTAAGATTACAGTCGGTATGAAGGCTACTTACCTAACAGATTTACAACACAGACTCTATTGGTTATTTATCTGCAGGGTCTCTGGAGCATAACTAACTATTTAGGTACCAGCACTTCTATTCCAACTATCTCAACACAGACACAGGTAAGACTTAGAAATCACAGTTAGTGCTCAAGTACCATCTTTCACAAGTTTGAAAAAAAATCACCAGTAGGTAACATCTAGGTAAAATAAACTACATAAGCATATCATTCAACTTCAAACATAGATACTCAGCTGTTTTAAAGGAGAAGCAGAGATTTTTTATTTTTTTTTTTAATAAAGCGATTCTTTCTTTATCACGTGGGCTTTTTAAACAAGTTTTCAAAGATATTGTCAAAACCCTTGTAGGTTGAAGGGAGAGGGCTTGAGATAAAGAAGACACTGATTGTAAAGCACATAAAAAATCCTATAAAATGAATGCACATTTTGCATTTATTGTTATTACTTTTCCATAACTGTTACTGGAAAAGATAGAGCATTATTAGACAATGTTAACTTTCACTGTTTTCTCCCAATTTCAATATCTCTACTTCTCATGGATTGGCAAAGTATGAATTAATATGAATTTTACGTTTTAAGTGAGAAGAGTCCCTTAGTTGTGGACAGAAAAACAGAAAAAATAACTTTTAGTTGCAAAGCTAAAGAAAGCCAACATTATTTTAGAGCAGAAGAGGGTAAAATTTTTAATCAGAAACATGGGACCCCTTCCAAAGAATAGACTGACAGGGACAGCCTGCCATCTCATTAAAAAAAATAAAAAAAAAAAAACAACCTCTCTCTCACTAATTAACAAAAAAGTCAAGGCTATCATGATCAGGAGAAAAAAAAAAAGGGGGACAGTAAAAGGATCAATTCTAACAAAAACGTTTAAGCTAAAGCCACCCCAGCTCCACTGACACGAGCCCTCTGCAGGCATCCTCTGCAGTGCAGAAGTGCAGAGCCACTCTCTGGCCTGAGAATTCCTGCAGAGCTTGCTCCAATTGACTCACGTGAACTCAACAAGTTAACTCAAGTGAAAGCACAAGGCAAGCAGTTCAAAGGGAAGAGTTGTGGTGCAAAACAAACCCGAGTAATGTAAGCGTGGAGGGTACCTAAAGGGAACCACACATCAGATGCTAACAACACTGCATGCCAGTGCCTATATGAAAAATTAAATCCCGGTGAGGCAACAACTGCTTCAGTGAGATCCACAGCACCGTAGTGACTCGTAGTGAAGAGCCCATCCCCACGAGCATCGAGGTCTTCCCGACCTGCCACTGGCTCTCCAGATAGGAGCCACTGCTAAGAACATCCTTCCACCCACCACCTCCCGGCAGTCCCTCTTCTGAGGGTACACCTCACTGTACAGGCATGTGTCTCGTCTTTTTGACAATGCTCTGATACCATGGCAACAAACTTGTTTATATATAAATGCCAAGACTGACGAGCTCAATTTGCCAAAAAAAGCAACATATTTCTGTTGTGAAAATCAATTTAAGTTAACTCTTTCTGAAAGCAACTTGGACAAAGGGAAGGCAACAGACATCCTTTTTTATTCCTTAGCCAGTGATGTGCGGTAAATAATTACTGTAAGTAACACAGTTAGCAGCAACAGAAGGGAAGCATCCTGCAGAAAGTGCATTTGGTAAAAGCCTCTGGCTACAGATCAAGTGCTGAATTAATTTATGAATTCACAGCTTTCCGCCACTGTTTTTTACCTTCTTGACCCATAAGGAGATACCCATCCAAAGGGGAAAGCACCATGTCATTAGTGAAGTAAAAATTCTAAGACAATTCTCTCTAAAATGAAGCAAAATTCCCCTAAACTCGCCTGGCATCCTGCACTGGAGCACACCAGGCAACAGCAGCACGCCCATTGCTTTTGCTTTCCCTATCATCATTCCCAACAGGTATATATCATTATCAGAGAAAACGAACATTTGCATTGGTGCTGCACAGCCAAAGGCACTCCAAAACAAACCTGCTCAAACCTCTCAGCCTGGAAATTGTCAAGAAAAGGGTAAATGTGGCACTGAGGGACACGTTTTAGTGAGCATGGTGGGGATGTGTTGACGTTGGACTGGATGATCTTGGAGGTAATTTCCAACCTTAACAACTCTACGGTTCTATGAAAAGATGAATCCCGTGCATCCCTGCAACAAGAAGTAAAGTGCCCTACTCTTCCCTCTGCAGAGCTTCCAGTAGTCATCAGAAACAGATTACTGCTAATAACAGGTGCCACAATGATCTATTTTTAAGTAGTGAAATGAGACACAGGCAGATCATGAGAGAGGAAAGATCAAGAACTGGAAAAAATAAAAGCTGGAAGTATGAAGAGAAAGGTTAAAAACACGAGCAAGAGAAGGAAATATTCCTCAGGTTCTTTTATCACATCCTGTGCTGTGGCACCTGAGCAAAGACGGAAATGTTTGCAAAGGACAGAGTGCAGAGGTTAGGAGATATTATTATTTGCAAACCTTTCTGTTGGCTCTAAAAAAAGAAATGTGGTTTTGTTTTCAAAAGGAAGAAAAAACAAACATGTTTTATTAAAACCAGAGCTTGTTCCATGCTATGCTACCAGTCAAATAATTTCAATTGATACTAGTGCCCCTTGCATCCAGATCTGGTGGCTGAAAGGCTTTGGCTGTGCCTACTTGCCAAGTACCACAAACTTGGGTTAATACTTGCTGAATAACAGACAAACAAAATAGTAACAAGTAAACCTGTTTTATTCTACAACCAGAGACCGTAAATTAGTAGCAATCTTCAAAACCCCTACAGCATCAAACCTACACAGTCATTACTGAGAAACATGGTGTTGTTTTGTTGTGTTTGGTTTTTTTTAAAATCTAAATTAGATATATTAGCCTGAGCAGACTTGAACGTTACTGATGCAGATTCCCAGGGCTATGACTGGGATGTCAGCCCCCAACTGGATGAAAGAGCACATAAAACCACTTACGAGCTACTGAGAAGTTATTTAAAGGCGATTCTCGTTGGTCAACATCTTGCGGTCGTTCCTTGTAGCCAATGAACGTGCCATCATTCTTTAAAAGAAAATACCGAGGCCTCCATGTTTTGATATATTCTCCTGCAAAAAACAAATGGGAAAAGAAAGATATCATCAGAAAACACCCCACAATACTGATTCATCAATCTATATTTTTTTTAAGTATTGAAACTCCAACTCCTGACATATCAGCAGCTTTAAGAACATTCAGTTCATTCTGATACAAGCAGTGGAAAAATACAGGCACTGAGTCAGATATTTTTAGTGATGCTACCCATAAGAATGGGATTTCACAAAAGGTAAACAGCTCTGTTTTGTTCTTCTATCTATTCCTATTTCCATTCAAATTCTACAACATCTGCCTTAAACGCATTTTAAATTTTTAAAAAATCAGAGCAGATGTCCTATGTATTATTTTTGCTATTGTCATTTTTCATACTGACAAGTGGAGAAATTTTTTTCATTTACATTTTGCAGTGCAAGTATTTTAAACAACAATGGGTAATTTACTAATTAGTCAACTGCTTTATCAAACCAACAGTCATTTTTAGAACATAAAAAGATAATTCTCTGCTTACGTTACATAACATCACTCACTCCTCTCACAACATCTGAAGCATGAAACATGAGATGATATATCACAGTACAAAAGGAGAAAACACTGGATGATGTATAGCCACCACAAACAAGAAAATAAGTATCTCTTCTGAAATACACCCCGTTTTTGTTTTAGAGAGGACATCCCTTGACCACATCGTGCTACTAATCATTTGAGTAACACTGAGCAGATACCAGTCAATGACTATCACAGCTATGTTCTAAACCTTCAGCAGTTGAAGAAAAGCGGTGATTAAAACCTCAAGTGAGTTATCAGAGTGATTCAACTGGGCTTCAAGGATGGCAGACTGGAGTTCCATCTACATCTATTCTAGGAGTCAGTGTGCATCAGTTCCCCCTTGTGCTCTCTACTCATGCTATTCCCAGATCTCTAGGTAACATTTCTATACAGCTGAATCACAAAAGCCTCACTCCAGGTGCTACTCAACCCACAGTACAAGCCACGTTTCACCTTTGCCCATCCCTACCAACAACTGATGTAGAAGAGAGAAAACAAACCAAAGCTGTCACTGCGAACCACCCACAGCTGGGCAGCAGCTGCAGCCTCCTCCCTGCAGTAGGGTTTTGGGTTCGTCTGTTTGATCAACAGCAGGGAGAGGATGAGGGAGCAGACCAGACACCAAGCATCGCTCAGGTGAGCAGCAGCAGGTCTGAGCATCTCCCTAGCACCCACTGCCTGCTGTTTCACCTGCCGGTGAGCAATTTGAGCAGCAGCCAAGAGCAGGGAGAAGAAAGGGCTCCCTAAATTTACTGGCTATAGCAACCTGCTTTTCTCCCAGGTGCCACTCGCATCCTGACTGTTGCTTTCAAGTGTTTAGCCTTAGTGGTTAGGCCTTTAACTTCCTATTCTAAAGTAAGAAACAAAAATTTACTGAGTTACCCTTCAAAAAATATCTATTTGCACTGATTCAACAGCACAGTCAAAACAGATGAGAGTAAAAGAAACGGAAACAAACCTATGCAGTATTTCTTTTAAAGACATCAGTTGCAGCTGCAAGTATCATACTGACCTAGAAGAGTTTTACAAAAATGTCTGTGTCACTATAGGAATTTCAGCAGGACTCACCTAGAGCACTGTCATGGCGTTTATAGGCAAGGTTGTAAATGTAGAAGGTTTTGTTGTCACCTTCTTAATTTTGACCTTAATTAAAAGCTGAGAACTTTCTGGGGTCAGTAGGAGATTATGAAGCCTTTCACATTTAAATTATCAATCCAACTCAGCCCAGATCAGTGAGATTACTCCAATCTCATTACTATTACACCAGATGGGACTACAGGAATAAGAAAACAGAATGCACTTGGCCCAGTGCCTATTGGAGAGCTCTGCCAGGTAAGCAGCTGTCGGGACTCTGCGACATACCTGCCACACTGGTGTTTTCTTCTCTTGATCTAAGCAAACCCAGAAGAGCTAGGACTTCCATCACATGCCTACACTGATGACTAAATCCCCACTGGACGGTATATTAAAAAAAAACAAAGAAAAAAAACTAATAACCAACTAGATGAGGGGCAAGTTAGAGAGTGTTAGAGTCTTGCCTAATGTATGTTACGCATCTTCTCAGTCAATATTAACAGGAGACATGAACTATTTATTTTTTTTTAAAGATATTCTGAAAATAATACCTGGTTATTTTCAGTGAAACATGCATAATTTTACACCAAATCACACTCAACTGTCACAAGAGTCTCCTCCTCTCCCTTATCCTATTTTATGTTTTATTAGAGGCTTATGTTTGGCTCTAATACTTTCTTACAGCTTTATTCCACTGATCTGTTTCTGTTAGAAATACATCATCTAACAGGATTAATCACACAGTCCTTAAAATGGTGTATTCCATATGTTCCACACACACCATCATCTTCCACACTCGCTCTTTCTGCCCCATCCCTGGAGGTGCCCAAGGCCAGGCTGGATGGGGCCCTGGGCAGCGTCATCTGGTGGGAGGCAACCAGCCCACAGCAGGGGGATAGAATGGGGTGGGCTTTTAAGGTCCCCCCCCAGCCCAAACCATTCTGTAATTCTACTGTTCTACAAGTCTATCATTTACCTTTCACTGGAAATGAAAGAACAAGCAGTTCATTAGCATTTCACAAGGACCACTCCACTCGGACCTTCGTTCACTTATTGCTTTAGCTGGTTCAGGTTCCTCATCTAACTTTTTAATTTGTAAATAAGTAAATAAACTTCTTTTTCCACGTCTGGAGCTTAATGAATGCTGCAACATGGCAAGCTTACACATTATTGATTATTGCTCTTGCCAAGGACAGTATGAGGCACACTGCAGCATCTGCAGTGTACATTTTATTATGTAACAAGCTCTGATGTTATACTTCTGCACCTTGCAGCAGCATGACAGTGCCTTGTTCGTGACACCCCCATCAAGTTAGCTGTTAATCTGATCTTATAAAGAAGTTGGAACTAGCTCTCATTCTTCTCTTCTGAAATTCAGATCACCAAGACAGTCATCAACAAAACATACAAAGTGAATATTCTTAGGAAGCAACTTTACATCCTTTTTAGTAACTAAATCAGCAGAAACACTACAAACTTTCTACAACCTGACCAAAAAACACCTTTTCCTTCCTCATTAAGCCGCCATGCCTGAAGAGCGAACTGAACTGTTTCAATTTTTGTCCTGTGATTTTTGTTCCTGTTGCGGTTTTGTTTTTAAGAATAATAAAAGCAAGAAGTTGCTTGAAGTCACTCATGGTATTAGCTATGTCGTTTCTCTAGAAGAAACAGACAGAGTAAGCACAAGCATGTGTGGCAGATTCTATTAGACAACACTTAATAACAATAATAATGATCCACCATGGAAAAGTGAACAATTTACAAAGCAAAACATTTTTTCCTCTGTGATTCATTGCTTGTGTAATGCCCTGGCAGAGCCTTCTTTGTTTTCAGTAACAGAATGCTAACACTGCAGAGAGAGAAAAGCAAAAGCATGAGTTGTAAATCCTACATATAAAATCCTGGAATCAAACAGACTCCTCTATAACTCGCTGGCTTTATTATTTAAAACCTTTATGTGTCGTTCTGTTTACTCAAAGCAATTTTCAAGTTGCAAAGATTCCCAAACTGTACATATCTGCAAATACACACCAAGACTGTTATAGACTGATTTCACTTTATTGCTTTGTGTCTGCCCCCACACACTGCATATTAAAATACTTAATACACGCTCAGAATGTAAATCCACCTCATGCCAAAGAAGCTTTTCCCAGTAACACGTACTGCAGAGCACACTTACGCCTGAATATTTTGGAAAGTCAAACACAAAACTCTTCTGGTTCATGAAAAGTTAATTCTGCTGAGGATTTACAATAATGCAGGGTTAGGTTATTTTCCTCTGCTCTCCCCAACAGTATCTCACCGAATCTGGAGCTGTCTACCACTGATAGAGTGTCTAACATCAGAAACAGCTGCCACTCCCTGGGAAGCTTACGGGGTAAGTGGAGAATAATGAGCAGCAAGCACCAGCAGAACAAAAGAAAATCCATCTTTATTTACCAACTGCTGCATGCTTGTTGCTGCATCAAGCTCATTCAAAGCCAACGCCACACCCTTTAATTCGGAACAGACTATACTTAAGAAATCGTTGCTTATTTTTCTAATCAACTCATACATACCAATGGTTTAAAAAAATCATTAGGTTAACCAAGTCAGCATCCAACGATACCCTTGATATTTAGAGAAGTCCTGGACCTGCTATTAACTTTCTTATGCCCCAAAGTAACCAGAACAAGCCCAGCAACACCGAGCAAGAACGAGGTCTCAGTTACATTAAGCACGCTCTATCGGCTACTATGAATCTATGGATAAATAATGCATTTTACATTCTGCTTTGAGTATCAAAAGCGGCATCATTAATTACAATTAAAGGTAACACTCAAAATACAAGGGCTTTAAGTTATGCAAGCCTCTGGTCCGTTCCCACACACTCTGAAGACGCGCTGCATTCCTTGATCGTGCAGCACACAGCCAGCCGAGCGAGACACGAAGGCTGTGCCAAGTGCGGCGCTCATGTGCCACTGGTCAGAGACAGACTGAGTCAGTTCTAAAACTTCAATGGCAGCGGAGAGTGCTCTGCACCCTGTCTGCCTAATAAGGCTTCTCTGAGGCAGATGCCAGCTTCCCTCAAGACGTGAAGCTTTCAGGAGCTGCCATCTCATGCACACTGGCATGTCTGGAAAGAGGAAGGTGGATTTACAGTTAGTTTCTGCTGGTTGAGTAAATCAGTATCCACTCACTGGCAAACCAGCTCAAATCAAAACAGATTTCCAAAAAGAAAGCAGGGCTCGAATTTCTCCTTTGCATTTCTATAGCGCTCAGAAGCACACCATTCCTAAGCACAGGGAGCCAATTCTGGATCGTAAATACTTGATACTAGACAATTAAGCAAGGCAAGAGCGACCCAAATGAAAAATCTGAATTCACTTTTTATTTTTCAAATAGCTGCTCA